TCACAGACACAAAGGCGCGACCAAGGACTTTTTTGAGGGATGTTTTTGTCATACCAATAAGTCTCTCCCAAAATCCTCCAAACCAAGGGGCACGTTTTGGTATGAAGGACCACTCCATGCGGTGGTTTGCAAAGTAGTTTTGAATTGACGCTGACTCGAATAATTCCTGTATTTCTTTAGCTGCGGAAAGATACGTTGATCCATTGTCCGAAATAATTTTACTAGGTAATGAACGCCTCGCAGCAAACCGTCTGAAGGCACGTAAAAATGTATCGGTAGAGAGATCCATAACCAATTCTAAATGAATAGCCCGAGTCACAGCGCATGTGAATAAACAGATATAGGCTTTCCGCTCTGACTTCTCTACCGAGACAAACACGGCTCCGGTAAAGTCCACACCTGTAACGGTGAAGGGTGGAGCATTACGTAATCTACATGCTTGTAGGGGTGCAGGAATCGGTTTCCTGTAGGGTTTTCCACACACTAACCGACAGACAACACAATTTCTCAGTATCGATCTCACAAACGGCCGAATTTGTGGAATCCAAAATCTTTGGCGAATATGTGTGATTGTTGCCTGGGAACCCGAGTGTTTAATATTTGAATGGGCGGCGGTCACCACAAGTTTTGCGAAATGGTTTCCTCTAGGGAGAAGAATTGGAAATTTTGTGTCACAATTCACTGGGGCATTGTGAAGCCTGCCGCCTAACACTATGAATATTAATTAGTAAACTTAAATGAGTGACATATGATTAACATAATAAGTAGGAGGTGTTGATGGGTGGAGCTTACATTTGCACACGGTTCCCGACACCCTTATTATTTATCTGAACTCAATAGTATTCATTTTTCTTCCGTTAGCTGACTGCTAAAACGTATTGACAATTCTTAAACACTGAAAACATACGGCTGGCAAGCTTTCCCGATCATGAAACCTCACTTGTCGAACACATTACCATCGGAATGACGGCACAAGTCTTCATGGGACAGATTTATTACCAAACGCTTCAGCGTGGTATTAAGATTTTGTTTTCAGGCTTGGGTGGTACCAAGGTGGAAAATGGTTGCACATATGGGGGGGTAATTCCTGGAATAGCAATAGAGAGGGTTCAGGCCGAAATACATATATATAGTGTTTCCATGTTTCGTCTGATATTTCTGTGGTATTCTGCTGCTGTAAATAATGCAGA